ACTCATTACAAATGTGGAACGGTTTCAGAAGCCACCAACTAGTGTTTGGAAAGAACCCAAATCTACCTAACGTCATGCATGCATTGGAAGGGAGTACAACGAGCGAGGTATTCTTCAAGCACATGAATGCTCTTTACGAGACACGAAAGGCCTACATACAAACTGAAGCTGACGAAAGGCTAAGGCGCGCATTACGGTCAAAAGTGAGAGCGGCAGAACAGGTGTTTGAAAATGGCGATAAGGTATTTTATAAACGAGAGGGAAAGGAGCGCTGGCTCGGTCCAGGGAAAGTCGTGTTTCAGGACGGTAAAGTTGTGTTCGTGAGGCACGGAGGGGTATTTGTTCGAGTGTCGCCAAACAGACTGTGTAAAGTTAACGGACCTATACATGACAGTACAATAGAGGAAAAAGACACAGTAGAGGAACGAGATGACAAAAATGTAGAAAAAGGTGATCAAACTGTAACGGAAAAGGTCGGGAACACACCAGATGTCGACAACCAGGATGTACAAGGTCATAATGTCGCGGAGCAGCAAGGTCACAATGCTGAAGGCCAAGGTCGTGATGTTCAGGGTCAAGGTCAAACTCATATTACGGCAAATCGGTATATTGAGTACAAGTTGCCAGGATCTGAGGATTGGACAAGTGCGAAGTTATTGAGTAGGGCAGGCAAGGCTACAGGAAAGAACAGAACTTGGTATAATGTGCAGGACGATATCAGTAATGAGATGAAAAGTGTCGATTTGGGTTGCGTAGAATGGAAGTTCTTAGACAGACAAAACAATGAGGAAACGGTAAATGCTACGACAGAGGATGACGACACAAGTAGTGAATTGGCCAAGCAAGCTGAGCTACAAAAACTGCATGAATTTGAAACGTACGAGAAAGTTGAAGACCAAGGACAAAACACTATATCAACAAGATGGGTAATTGCAAGGAAAGATGGCAATACAAGGGCTCGACTTGTGGTGAGAGGTTTTGAAGAACGGTCATTTATTCCCAAGGATAGCCCCACTGTAGGAAAAGGGGCAATGAGAATATTTCTCACAGTATCGGCGAGTAAAAACTGGAATGTCAAAACTACAGATATCAAATCGGCATTCTTACAAGGGAATGAATTGGACCGTGACGTGTATATTAAACCACCTATAGATAGTCTTACGGAGAGCGGGTTTATATGGAAACTCAAACATGTTTTTTACGGACTTAAAGATGGAGCAAGACGTGCTTCACAAAAGCAGTGTCTACTCAGTGAACATGAACAGTCACAATACTGTAGGTTAGTCGGTCAGTTGAATTGGGCAGTACAAGGATCACGACCTGATCTAGCGTTTGAACTAGTGGACTTGAGCACAAAACTTACTTCAGCAACTGTAAGCAATCTAACATGTGCTGTAAAAACCATAGGAAAGTTAAAAGGTTTAAGGCCCATTCAGCTGTTTCCACCTCTTCGAGGTCAGGTGACCAAGGACTGGGAGATCATCGTATTTAGTGACGCGGCATTGGGAAACCTTAATAACAACCAAGGGAGCACTGGAGCACATATCGTTTTGATAAAGGATCGTTATGGAAACTGTTGTCCGATCTATTGGAAGTCAAACAAAATCAAGCGAGTCGTGCGTTCTACCATAGCGGCTGAAGCGTTAAGTCTACAAGAAGGACTAGAATCCGGAATGTACTACAGGAAGTTAGTGGAAGGCATCTACAGAATCGAGGATCAGAGCTTACCCATCACTACATCTATTGACAACAAAAGTGTGATTGAGGCTTTACAGTCAACTAAACTGGTTGATGACAAACGACTGCGAATCGATATCGCCGGAATTTTAGAAATGAAACTAAACAATCGAGTTGAAATTAAATGGTGTCCGGGAAAAATACAACTGGCTTAATAAATTCACTGACGAAGCGAGGAGCATCCGATATCGAACTGTTAAATGTACTTCAGAGAGGGAAAATGCCAGAGGAATTTGTGTGATGTGCTATGTGTAGGCAAGGGGCATAATAATCCCCTTTACCGGAGGATAGTCTAATCCAGTGATGGTTTCTACTCTATATCCATTGTTAAATACATTGTAAATACTGTATATAGTTTAATTTCATACCGGGACGGTAATACTTGATTTAGTAATTTGAACATTTTCAATTACGTTCGACTTTAAAAAGTGATTTTGATTTATGGACTAAACATTTTTGATTTTCACTTTATGGACAATTGCCATCACAAAAAGAAGAAATTATAATTAATGTTAATCCCATTATGTATATATAACCACACAGTGCAGGGGAGGTAATAGATATGGGACTTGTAGTAGTTACTCCCCTTTACTGGAACTCTTTGTTAGGAGAGGTTACTTTGAGTGAATAAAGATGGTGGAAGCACATGTCACAGTTTAGTTGAGAAGTGTATTAACACTACATACCTTACAGGTAATGCTACTAAAATCTTCTTCATTAGACTCGGATGTTTCACAATCAAATATTCTTCATGGATAGAAAAGTCCTTATCTAATCTTATCTGCTTTATCTAAATTGTAAATTGTATTACCCCCAGGTCATTAGCTCTCCCTTTGGGAGAGGGTACAGTTTATTATAGTTTATAGAGGTAAATAACACTTTTTGGTATATTTTATCTAATCACAGCAAGATATCATTCTATCTTCGTTCAAATAGTTGTGATGAGATGGCAATTAGACTGTATGAAAAAATAATATCCGTCCTTGCCCCAGGGGCTGGAGGGAGGGGTGGGGGCAAAAAGGGGAATTGGCTGATTATTCAAAAAATTATATGGTCCCAAGCCCACAGGGGCCTGAGGGGCGGGGCCAAAAAGGGTAAAATTGACTAAAATTTCAAAAACTTCTTCTCAAAATCCAGAATACTCTTCATAGATGGAAGGGTCTTAAGGTGCTTTACTTAAATTGTGAATTTCTTGACCCTGGGGTCTCACGTTTTCCCCTGGGGAAAGTAATTCAATTAAGGTTAGCATTATCAGTATTGGGTAGCAGTTTGATGGTATGCACATATCAGCACTGACTGACCCCCCAGGGGCTGATGGGTGGGGCCAAAAAGGGTTGAATTGACTGAAATTTCAAAAATCTTCTTCTCAAGACCCAGATATGGTAGAATCAAATACTCTTCATAGATGGAAGGGTCTTAAGGTGCTTTACTAAAATTGTGAATTTCATGACCCTGGGGTCTCGCGTTTCCCTGGGGAAGGAGGGAGGGGGGGTGGGGGGCATAATTAGTCATGGTTTATGATGGCAAATAATACTTTGAATATTAGATAACTTGATTGGAATTATAACCCTAAGTTGACAGTTTGATACTTTGTAAATTTTGAGCCATCCCTACCCCCAAGGGCTGTAGGGTGGGCCCAATGGAGTCTGTGTGCTAAAACAAAATTTCTTCATTTTCCTTGTTTAGAATCAGTGGTGCTAGTTTCAAATACTTTTCAGTCTTAAATCTGCATGCTAGATATTGAATAAGGTGGTTTTATTGTTTTTTGTCACTTTAAATAATATTTCTGTTCATGTTAAAAACAAAAATCAACTCTCTGTATAAATATATCAGGTGATCGTTAAGGCCCATGGGCCTCTTGTTTTATATTTATTTTTTTGTAAATTATCTTTTTATTCAGATTTTTCATCAATGCAATGTACATGTACAATAAATAGCAAAACATTCACTCATTTGTATACTGGCACATACATACATAAACCTTTATCTGGTATGTCCACATTTGTCATAGATTACATACGTTCTCAGGATGATATTTAACCACACTAGCATAAACTTACATACTCATTTCCGTCTATTTTTACATTTTAACATTTTATTACCCATATATATGCATCCATCCATGTCTCTGACATATATATGTCTCAACAATTCATTGCTATGTCTCGTGTAAAAATAGAACACATATCCACCTTCATCACATATGGTATATATCTTTATGCTGGAAACAATATCTGCACTAAATTATACATAACCGCACATACTGTATAACTCATGTCCATGTCAAAAACACCCATGTCCATGTATAAACATAATTAATATGATTTCACCCTACTCACTTGTGGTCAACTCACACAAATCCATTTGCATGATATTAGATTAGACATTTTCAGACATTCCTGTATCTACTAGTACTGATTATTGATATATAAATTTATGCAAAGAGAAGAAATATCAGTCCCACACAAAAAGGTAAATGAGAAATTTGCACAGACTGTCTACTGAGTACATTGCATTGTCTTTATTAGAAAGAGGAATTGAGATAGAGTTTGAGAAAATAAAAAGAAAGGGAGAACAGAGAACAAAGAAAAAAGAGAAGAAATGTAGGAAAAGTTGGGCGAGATGGTGGAAAAAGAGGTGGATATTCACTCATGTATACTATATTATATATAGGTAATATATCGGCTTTGTGAAGGGCAGAAATTAAAATATGTATGATGGAGTATGTCTTAAAGATAATAATTATAATGATAATATGATAATAAAAATGTATTACAACTTAATTAGTTTGTCCCATTTTTTCCAGTCATTTTCAAATTTATGTTTAGCTTTTTCATCCTTACCATTAACAATGTATTTTTGAATCTGATAGTTGACTTTTATTATGTTTACAAGAGCGTTTATATTTAATGAGTTATGTAAACATCTCATTCTGTAAATATACTGCTTTTTAATGATGATGATTTCATTATCTACTCAATTACTGGGAAGAAAAATTCTGATCCTATCCCAGGGGTTGGCTAAGCAGAAAATTGTCTAATTGACAATAGCTATTTTATTTCTCAGTAGCAAAATGATTTCATTGAAAAGTGTTTAAAGCTTTTTTCCTTTGGTGACATGCCAAGTATTGTATTTCACTTTGTTTACATGTTGATTTCAACATCACATCTCAGTGCCTAAATTATAACTCAGGTGACTGCTAAGGCCCTCTTGTTATGTTTTTGTTCTGGAACATAAATATTCTTTTAATTTTCCCTGAGTAGAATTTGGAAACAATTCCAAAATTGAAAGAGGAGATCAAGGAGAAAGAAAAGAACCTGCAGAGCATGCAGAAAGATTTAGAAGAGAAGACGATATTACTGGCCACTTCGCGAAAGGCTGTCAGAGAGTACCGAGAGCAGCTCAGAGTATGTACAACTAAAATCAGAGTATGTACAACTAAAATCAGAGTATGTACAACTAAAATCAGAGTATGTACAACTAAAATCAGAGTATAACTAAAGTCAGAGTATAACTAAAGTCAGAGTATGTACAACTAAAGTCAGAGTAATAGTACAACTAAAATCAGAGTAATAGTACAACTAAAGTCAGAGTATGTAAAACTTAAGTCAAAGTATGTACAACTAAAGTCAGAGTATGTAAAACTTAAGTCAAAGTATAACTAAAGTCAGAGTATGTTCAACTAAAGTCAGAGTATGTACAATTAAAGTCAGAGTATGTACAACTTAAGTCAGAGTATAACTAAAGTCAGAGTATGTACAACTAAAGTCAGAGTAATAGTACAACTAAAATCAGAGTAATAGTACAACTAAAGTCAGAGTATGTTCAACTAAAGTCAGAGTATGAACAACTAAAGTCAGAGTATGTAAAACTTAAGTCAAAGTATGTACGACTAAAGTCAGAGTATGTACAACTTAAGTCAGAGTATAACTAAAGTCAGAGTATGTACAACTAAAGTCAGAGTAATAGTACAACTAAAGTCAGAGTATGTACAACTAGAGTCCGAGTATGTAGAACTAGAGTCAGAGTATGTACAACTAAAGTCAGTATGAACAACTAAAGTCAGAGTAATAGTACCACTAAAGTCAGAGTATGTACAACTAAAGTCAAAGTATGTACAATTAAAGTCAGAGTATGTTCAACTAAAGTCAAAGTATGTACAACTAGAGTCAGAGTATGTACAACTAAAGTCAGTATGAACAACTAAAGTCAGAGTAATAGTACAACTAAATTCAGAGTATGTACAACTAAAGTCAGAGTAATAGTACAACTAAAATCAGAGTAATAGTGCAACTAAAGTCAGAGTATGTTCAACTAAAGTCAGATTATGAAAAACTAAAGTCAGAGTATGTAAAACTTAAGTCAGTATGTACGACTAAAGTCAGAGTATGTACAACTTAAGTCAGAGTATAACTAAAGTCAGAGTATGTACAACTAAAGTCAAAGTATGTACAATTAAAGTCAGAGTATGTTCAACTAAAGTCAAAGTATGTACAACTAGAGTCAGAGTATGTACAACTAAAGTCAGTATGAACAACTAAAGTCAGAGTATAACTAAAGTCAGAGTATGTACAATTAAAGTCAGAGTATGTACAACTTAAGTCAGAGTATAACTGAAGTCAGAGTATGTACAACTAAAGTCAGAGTATGTACAACTAGAGTCCGAGTATGTAGAACTAGAGTCAGAGTATGTACAACTAAAGTCAGTATGAACAACTAAAGTCAGAGTATAACTAAAGTCAGAGTATGTACAACTAAAGTCAAAGTATGTACAATTAAAGTCAGAGTATGTTCAACTAAAGTCAAAGTATGTACAACTAGAGTCAGAGTATGTACAACTAGAGTCAGAGTATGAACAACTAAAGTCAGAGTAATAGTACCACTAAAGTCAGAGTATGTACAACTAAAGTCAGAGTAATAGTACAACTAAAGTCAGAGTAATAGTAAAACTTCAGTCAAAGTATGGACAACTTGAGTCTAATATTTCACTTCTCACTCTGTATCATATGCTAGGACCTATGCAAAAACTCCTCTTCATCTTGGCGTTCAACATTGGCCTCAGAAAACAGGAAATTGATTCAAGTATTCTTTCAAGTATCATGCATTATGTGTACTTTACAGGAGTTAGAGAGGAAAGCTTTACAATCAGAAAACCTAACAGAGGAGCTGGACATTGTCCAGTGTGAAGTGACCACTCTCAAGAAACTCTTACAGGGGAAAGACTTCCTCATCATGCAGAAGTCCAAAGCTTTAGATCTTGCAAAGGTAAGAAGTTAGTAGCCAAGGGGAGATAATTAGGGCCACGTATCGAAGATACGGGTGCCCTATAGTAATCACTCTGTCTGTCTGTCTGTCTGTCTGTCCGTCTGTCCGTCCACAAATTCTGTTCCTGGCTGATAACTTTGGTATTTATTGACCGATGTACATGAAACTTGGTCAAGATGTTAAGTTCACAAAAATACACATTGAGGTCAAAAATCGAGGTCAAAGGTCAAGGTCATTATGTTCAAAGGTCAAGGTCAAATTTTACATCTTTCACTGATGAACATTTTGCTATGACATAATGAAGCAAAGTTAATCAGAATTAAACAAGGAGTCAACTTCGCAAAGTTCAAGGTCATCGGGTCAGAGGTCAAGGTCAAATTTTGTAGCTTTGCACTGGTGAACATTTTGTTATGACATTATGAAGCAAAGTTGATCAGAATTAAACAAGGAGTCAACTGACCAAAGGTCAAGGTCATTTGGTCAGGGGTCAAGGTCAAATTTTGTAGCTTTTCACTGGTGAACATTTCGCTATGACATTTTGAAGCGAAGTTGTTCGGAATCAAACAAAGAGACACACTGAGGTAAAAAGTCGAGGTCAAAGATCAAGGTCATTAGATTCAAAGGTCAAGGTCAAATTTGCATATCTTCACTGATAAACATTTTGTTATGACATGATGAAGCAAAGTTGATCAGAACTAAACAAGGAGTCAACTGACCTTAGGTCCAGATCAAGGGTTCCAAAGGGTCAAGGTCAAGTTTTGTGTTTTTCACTGATGATCATTTTGTTATGATATCAAGAAGCAAAGTTGGTCGGAATTAAAGAATAAGTCAACTGACCAAAGTTCAGGGTCACTAGGTTAATGGTCAAGGTCATTTGGGTCCAAAGGTCAAAGACAAAGTGGATCTCTGACTTTGACCCTGGCTCTTGATGTAGGAGGTATATAAGGTGAAATAAAACAAATCAAAGCTAACAAATGAGTATTGCACCGGTATTTACATTTCTGTTAGCCCAGCAAATATGGAGGTGGAAGGAAACGAGACTCAAATCATAGTACATGTAAAATATATATTTTGCTTCCTTGCGATTCTTTTTGAAGTCCAAATGTCAAACGTCAAGCTCAGCTATATAGGCAGAATGCTTCTTGATGATTATGGGGGATATATTGCCACAAGACGGGGCCCTTACTGACCTGTCAGTGTTCTAGTTTTATTTTAACCTTACAGTGGGTCCCTCAAGATATGTTACTCCAGAGCTTGTTCTCTATCAGGAATAAACTAGTTAACAGAGTCATCATCAAAAGTACCTGATTTCAATTGAAAGGAGGGGGGGGGGGGGGGGGGGGTGGTATCCAAAATTGCCCCACCTTTAATTTCAATTTGGTGAGGTTTAGAACTAAACCTTATCACAACAAAAACACCCATTAAAATTTCAAATGAGTGTTTATTTGTTACTTTGTATTTATATATATATTAAAGTTAGTGGCCCTTTTAACAGCCGATAACATTTGCAGATAATGATTTATAAGATGCAAGATTATAAAATATATTTGAATGACAGACTTGAAAAAAGAAGGAAGAGAAAAATGATGCAAGGTTTTGAGTTTGTTTTCAAACTCGTAATTCTAGATTCACAAGAAAACAATTTATTTCAAGCTTTGTCGGAATTTCTTAGGCCTGGGGTGCAGCTGTTGATTTTGAAGATTGCTATGATAGCTAAGATAAAAAAAACTATACTTAAGGTATGAGCATTGCACACATTCCTATAGTTCTTTGACCAACTGGGCATTGGCAGTAGTAATCTTTATTGGATTACTATCAATTGGTGTTATGCTGTACTGAATCCAAACATTATATTTACTCTGGCTCTTTTATCAGGAATAAATCTGACAACGGATGAGGTCTTGCGAGTGCTGATACACCCATATTTCATAATCTCCATCATCACTAATATGTACACTAGCTGATATAGCCTGGAGCTAATGATAACTGGCAGGTGCCGCACATTATAGTCTTCAAATGTTCCAAATTGAGCTCTGGAAATGTGAATGATGATGCATCCATCTTTATGAATTTTGAATTTGCTCTCTTTGAGAGAGCTGGTTCTGTTTTTACCTTCTGAGCCAAACAGTTTGTTTTTGTTAGTCGAAACTTCATCTGTTGTGTGAGTTCTCTCCCGTACAGAAATATTCAGTCTCTGGCACACTATCGCCGTATGTTCAGATTTCATGCAAATTAGGTTTCTGGCGATATCGCCAGAATATCATCGCAGGTTTCTGGTGATGTTGTGGCATACTCATTCCAATGCTCTAAAAGACTCACTAGGTTCTGGTGCGTTTGGGGCGATATAACAAGAGTGTCACCAGAATGTGCGGGTGCGTTTGCGGCGATATCACCAGAACGTCACCAGAATGTTCTGGCGTACTTGCAGCGATATAGCTAGAATGTTCCGGTGCACTTGCTGTGATATTGCCACAGGCTAGGGTTCTGGTGATATTGTGACTCACCCACACTGCATGTCATGGCAAGCAAGGTTGGGATTCCCACAACCAAATACATGACAATATTACAACAGGTTTGTGGAGTACATATAGTTTAGATAATAATTCATAGCTTATATTGATCAGAGATTGGATTTAAAGTTCAACACATATATATGGATCATTTCACAATGTAGTATTTGTTAATAGTAGTTATCAATAATATTAATATGTCTTTTTCAAACAAAGACAGGACCCGTAAAACAGGTCCTTGATTGTTAAGAGAGGAAAACTACTAATAGTTTCATTTTCCAAACGTTCAGTTTCAGACTCTCTTTTGTGCAGATACTTTATGCAGCACTTCGGACAAATACTAATATCTTCATTCGAGCAATCTATGCCACTTTTAGTCAGTTTATCCAAAAGCCATTTCTATTGTGGATTTTTTACATTTCTTGTACCGTTACATTTACGAGATTTCCTGAAGACCTAATGGCAACCATCACCAATACATTTACTTTTCATTATGAGATGAATATTACCAAATAAGTATGAAATATCACCTAAAAGCAACGTAAAAAGAAAACTCTGATGATAAAATGTATAAAAAAAATGATAGCAAAATGTATAAGAACAAATTCTAAAAAGTGACAAGGATATTACATTTGATGTCAAAATTGATTGTTAACAAAAACTTTATCATCACGCTAAGTGATGAAGAAAATCTGAATTTGGAATTGTTTGTGACCTAACATGCACTTATTGTTGGCTTGCAACAAATTTCATTACCAATTACATGTAATCAGGTGCCTTACTTTCTGGTGGATGTCAGGGAGGTATCTTAGGCCCTCACCTTTTTGGGGTATACAGGGTACCTTATTGTGCGATATGAATACTTTCCACAATTTTTTTTCCCACTGAATTTTTGCACACATACTTGAAATAACACCATTTTTCATACTATAAAAAATATTTGGTATAGAAGAATAAAAAGAATGAAAAATCTTGTATATTACATTAAAATTTTCACAAAATGTTCGATTAGCCGAACAATCTGGAGGATAAATATATTATTTCAGCATCACATGGAAGAAATTGTTCTCTCCAAAGTATAATGATGAAAAGAAATATGATTTTTTTTCTGAAAAATACATTCAGGCTGATATTCCATTTTTCGACCCCATGCTGTAATGAGTTTAATTAATCATCTAAATAATTAGTAGAGTGATTCAATGTAATAACATCAGATGTATAAGGGATTGAAAAAAGTTAAAACAGCAGCATAAATCTGGTAGCACTTCTGAAACGAAAGCTATGAGGGGGCAGGCTCCTATCTAAATTTAACATAGCTGGAAATATTCCCTTTATAATATTTCAGGTAAATTTTGTTTGAGGCTAACATAGGATTTAATGATGAAGTGTGAAACTCTCTGGTTACAGTATAGTAAGTCTGACATATAATTGCCATTTAAAATCGTCCTAAAGGCGCCTTTGTAAATCATGTACTTTTATTTCTTCTTGTTTCCCTTGCTTTAAGGATGTAATCATGACCATGAAACAGTCAGCAGCCCCGGAACAGATAGAGAAAATCATACGGCTGTTGGAGAAGATTTGGAACCGTCCCCCACAATACATCTCTAATGGCAGCCTCAGGTTGGCAGTGTAATATTACATGGCGTGTGAAGCCCTCGGTCATATAAGATAACGTATCTTTATAAATATAATTATATATTTATTTATATCATTGCATCCCTTAGTGAAATTATCCATAGTCAGCATTTAATTATTCCCCTGCTTTGACCAAACTCAGGGATATATAATACACCTTCCACAATTCTTAAAATGTTCACAAACCAAGTCATGGTGTTCATTGTGTCCTCGTAAACCAAACAATTTACATGTGTAAAAAAAAAATCATGCATTGCAGATGTTATGCTTTGTCATCCAACAACGACCCCCCCCCCCCCCC